TTCCCTTTATTAACATACAAACTGAAATTGTGTCCTTAGGTAGACACTTAGAAGTGCTTATTTGAGCTTCTGGAATGCAGTCTGGGAAACAGGTTCCTAGGTTAAAATATGGCTGTCTTATGGGTTTCTCTATAAGCTGATAGAGGGGTCATGGAATCTCACTATATCCTGCTATCTAAAGGTGACAAAAGCCAGTAATTTCTAGGAACCTCCTTAGCTATTTTAGGGTCTTGGGCTCTGGAAAGGAAAGAATTGGTTTAATTCTTTCTTCTCCCAGTCTTTGGGTTCCCTTAGATATAAGGCCTAAGTATTTTACCTCAAGGCTACAAAGTTGTGTCTTAGACCTAGAAACATTATAACCTCTGTCTGTTAGAAAATTCAGCAGAATACGGGTGTCTTGGCTAGCAAGCTCTTCTGAGGGGGCACATAACACTATACCATCTACATATTGCAAGACTGATGGGAAAAACTATAGTATTTCCTTTTATCAAATCAGGATTTAGGGATGTCCTCATCTCTTTCTGATCAATAGGTGACAATTTACAATAACTGAAGGATTTAGTCCTCACATTTCTTAGACCTTTAAGAATACATGGCTGAAAACGTCTTCTATTTTAATCTTCTATGTGATTGGCAGGCCAGTAGGGGTCTTATATAGGAACTGCTTGTATAGAAACCAGTTAGTGCCCTGGCTGCCCATCTTTTGAGCTTCCAAAATTAAGATAATATTTTTCTCTAAATGTAATACTACTTGTCTCTCATTAAAAACCAATATTTGATTTAAGAGTAATATTACATCTTTCTAATCTAGTCCACAGGTATGAGTAAGTTCTCTAAAGACCTCAATGTACATATCAGACTCAGCCAAAAATTGTATTAGGTCTCATTTAATCAGTGAGAATTTAGATCACTGAGAAAAAGACACATGAATGCAGATAGTCCCATATTTGCCATCTGCTTCCTGCAAGGGATATTGTCTTTGAGGGGTCTGGTCCTGAGTTTGATCCCCAGTACCAGAAAACAACAAAATTAAGACACTTTTGAGACAAAAGCTGAAACAAAGGCGAGAATTTATTAAACCAAAACAAAAATCTATGAAACAAAAGAGATCCTATGAAACAAATTACAATCTATAAAGCAAAAGTACCAAAGTTAGAACCTATGAAAGAAAACTCTTACCTCCTACCTGTAATCTTGGTGGAAGACCTCCAAAATGATATAGGGAGAAGAGATATGACTCCAAACCTGCTAGATATCCAAATCGTGAGTTTGTGCTCTCTAAAATCGAAGAATGAATTCTAGGAACACTGGAGGTTAAGAGTAGGAAAAATCAGCTGTGCGTGGTGGTGCATGCCTCTAATATTGGCACTCAGGAGGCTGAGGCAGCAAGATCTCTGTGAGTTTGAGACCAGCCTGGGCTACATAGTGAGTTCCAGGTCAGTCTCAACTACATAGTGAGACCCTGTCTCAAAAAAGGGTGGGGGGAGAAAGCTTTTGTCTAAGAGAAACAGAAAGGGACCAGAAAGTGTGTTGCCCCATTCTTAAACTTATACATTGTTGCTTGAGATATGCCCTTTCCATTTTTAAATTTTTATTTACATTTATTCATTTATTTTGTAGTTCCTGGGGATGGACCCAGGGCCCCCGCACATGTGTTAGGCAAATGTTCTAGCACTGAGCTACCTTTCCAGCCCATTTTATTTATTTTATTCTGAAATAGAGTTTTGTGAAGCTACCAAGCAGGTTTCTGACTCTCCTTGCTCTTAAGTCAGCCTCCTGAGCAGCTGGGGTTATAGGCTTGTCCCACCATGCCCAGTGAGAAATGCCCTTTCCATATAAGGTCTGATTATTTTTAACTTTGGGACTTGATTTTCTTTGTGTCTTCAAACGTTTCCTCTGCACCGCTTTTCTATCACTCGCTTTCTTGGTTCTAGCCTTTATGTGTTAGAAAATTAAAAATTGAGCTGCCTTATTATTGTGACTTGGATCAAAAATGTCTTCCCAAAGGCTCACTGTGTTGAAGGTTTGGTCCCCAATGCAGCAACATTCAGAGGTGGGGCTTTGGGGAGGCGATTGGCTCCTGAAAGCTCTGACCTCATCATTAGGGAAACCCACTAATGAGATCAGAATCTGATGGCCTGATTGAGCGGTGATGAGGAGACAATTTGAAGGGAGTGGCTCATGGGGTAAGAACTTGGGGGCTATATCTGGTCCCCAGCCCCTTCTCTCTAGCTCTTTCCCTCTCCCTCTGCTTCTGTCCTCTGTCACATTGTTTTTGCCTTGCCAGGGCCTGAAAGCAATGCATTACTTTGTCACAGCAATGGAACTCTGACTAACACACTTTTATTTTGACTTTTCCCATGCATATTCATTCTAATCTATTTTTCTTACCTGTCTCTGTTTTAGTTTTTAGTTTCACTATATTTTTCCTGACTTACAGTGTTAATATCATTCCTCATCTCATTAATATATTTATCACATGTATTTAAAACTATAAGCCAAGTGCAGACACACATGCCTCTAATACTAGCTACTTGGGAGGCTGAGGCAGCAGAGCACAAGTTTGAAGCCAACCTGAGCAACTTAACCAGACCCTGTCACACACACACACACACACACACACACACACACACACACACAAAATTAAAGGCTAGGGATATACCTCAGTGCAAAGGCTCTTGGTTCCATTGCCCATATGATCAATCAAATCACTCCATCCATCTGCACTTTCAGATGGCCCTGGGTCCATCCATAATTCAGTTTCAGATGGAATAATCTTATCCAACTATGGTCTTTGTGTACCTGCACTCGTGTCAACTGTGTCCTGTGTCTCCCTGGAGTTTGTGGTACTCTGTACCATGAACATGCATCCAGGAAGGGAGACCTGCTGTGAGCCCAGAAATCTCTGGCACTGGAGAATCATAGTTCACCCCTGTCATTTCCTGCAGCTTTACCAGATCATTCCTGTAGTCCCCGAAAGGAAGCGATAACCTGGAGGCCTTGAGGGCTGGACTAGGAAGGTAGAGGTGAGGAAGAGGAAAGGAGACACCAGAGAAGCTATGTGCCATTGTTTTTTTATTCCATTAAGTTTACTGGTACATTTTAGGTACACATTATGATCACATTCATCATTGGGAATTTGTACCTGTACGTGATAGACCTTGGTTCCTTCCCCCCATTCCCCTGCCTTCCCTTCCACTCCTCCACTATTCCCTGTTTACAAACGACGCTTGTTTCCACTCTATCCTTCTCTTCTCATATTTTTTCATTTTCTTCTTTCCTTTCCCCCACCCCCTCATTTCCCTTCCTTTGGACCTTTTCTTCCTGTTTCACATTATCTATTATACATTTTGGTCCTCATTTATTCCTGTGGTTTCTCACATCAGCGAAACCATTTGGTATTTGCACACGTGTCCTATTTACCTCACTTAAAAGTTGGCCTCAGTGTGCACTCATTCAGCTATAAATGCCTCTAGTTTATCATTTTTAATGGCTGAGTAGGACTCCATTTTATTTTTTTAAAACACAGTTTCTTTATCCAGTCACCAGTTGATGGGCATCTGAGCTGTTTCCAAAACGCTGACATTCCATCTCACCCCACAGAGAATGGCTGTTATCAAGAAATCAACCAACAACAAACGCTGGCAGGGCTGTGGGGAGAAAGGACCCCTCCTCCACTGGTGGTGGAGTGTAGACTGGGGCAGCCACCGTGGAAATCGGTGTGGAGACTCCTCAAAGAACTAGGATTAGAGGCCCCATGTGACCCAGATATTCCCCTGCTAGGTATCTTCCCAAAAGATTTAAAAGCATCGTGCCACAGCGATATATGCACACCCATGTTTATAGGGGCAGTTTGTAATACTATATCTGCCATTGTTTCTGTGAATTCCTCACCCCAGCAGCCCTTCTGTGCAGACCGGGATTACTGAGAACCTCTCTCCCGCAGTGTTGCTAACCATTTCCACAGTGAAGTCAGAGATGCGACCAAGGCACTGCCTGAGTGGGCAGCAGAGCGCTTTCACTCACCACCTCCCACACAGGAGCAGATTAAGGCCGCCGTCTCCGCCTCCCCAGGGCCGTGCTCTGCTTTTAGTCTGCAGGATAGACGGCCTGGAAGAGAGAGCCAGCCGCCTACGGAACACTACCCTGGGGAGGGAGAAGCTGGCTGGGAGACCCCGAAGTCTGCTGAGGAGCTAGCTTGAGAGCATGTGACTCCGACGCTGGGTCAACTCCTGCCTCTACAAGTTACTAGTTCAGTCTCCTTGAGCGAGCTGCAGCACCGCTGCTCTGTGCCTCAGTTTCCTCCATCTCTCAATTAGGGATGACAGTGGTTTCTGCCTTGGCGATGAGGGAAGAATCTGCAGAACAGAAGCTGGCAGTGGGTGCTGCTCACCTGTCAGGGGTGTAGCGCAGGTGCCAGTTCCCCACCCCTCCGGAGATAGGCAGACTTGACTTCCTGCTCACCGCAGGGGCACTAATTAGTCGGCGAGGGCAGCCCGGGGTCACCGCAGTGCCTCGGCGCGCGTC